GCCACAGTGCCCAACCTCAAACGGAAGCCTCTGGATCAGATCATGGTGACTGTGTAGACAGGAGACCATCAAAGGGAGATGCTCAAAGATGAGGCCCCCCCCACCCCCGACACGTGCCTGTTCCTCTTGGGTTATTGGCTGCTCTTTCTCTAGAGTTCAGTTTCCTCAGCAATCCATGTCACAGAGGGCCACTCTATGGGTCAGGAAACCGCCCCATAGTCTCCCACACTTCGAGTCTAATCAGGATCCGCAGTGGGGTTAGGAGACTTTTCGACAAAGAATTTGCTTTTAAGATACACTTCTACTGAACTTCATGGATATTCTGTCAGTTTTGAATAAGTAACCAACAAAATAATGAAAATGTCATGCCCACGGAACAAAGTAGCTGATGCTTGAGTTGGGTCAGCCGGACTGACAATTACCTGAACGTATAAAACACTTAGCGGCACGGTCCAGTGGTATGTTGAAACTGGCCCACACCATGTCGTTGAAGCCAATTGGTACATATTCCATAATTTTGCAAGCCGAGTATAAAATCATTTGTAGTTTGAAATTGCTCAGGGTGGGAGTCTTTACACTATAGAAATTGAAAAACACTACAAGTCGTGGCTTTTTTTCTTTTGTAAAGAGAATCCTTTACTAGGCACAACACTGAGGTTGCTCTTTCTTTTCTCCTCCATCCCCCCGAACACTCATAGGTCTTTTCTCCAGATGGCAGCCGAGCTGTTTGGAGCTGACGGAATCACCAAGTACCAGGTTGGGAATGCCTGGTCTAGTTTTTTGCCCATCACCTCTGTCTTCCTTCCGAAAGGATCCTATGCACACACACACTCTCTTAGCACAGATATTTGTCATCAGGGAACTCTGCCCCTACCTGTGCGAATCGTCTTTTTCCCCTTCCACTGTACCTTTTCTCTTATTATTTTTTTACCTAGTTCCCTTAGGAAAATCTCTCCTGCCTCTTCCCTGTTCTATTTATGAACCCACAAGAGACGCCCTCAGCATCACCGAGGAGAGTAACAGCTGGTGGCAGAGTTGTATCAGATAAAAAGGAAGATTTTTCCTTAAGATGAAATCAAACATTATAGGAACAGTGCCTTCAACACCTGAAATCCTCTGAAGTGCCCAGAAGCCTCTTTTAAAGTCTCCCAAATCTTCCATCTATGTCTTAATTTTTCTTTAAACCTACTTTCCCCAAGTCTACACGTTTTAATATAATACAAAGTTTCTTACTTAAATGTTATTTCTATTTTTTTTTATTATTAGTATTGTGATAGGTATTTGTCCTCTACTCTGTATTGTAAATGAGCATTTCTTTAACTACACAGCGGCTTTGTTAGATTTCTGTGGTCTGGAGTGGGAACCTAAGCACTGTACTTAATATGGTTTTTATAGGAGAAAGATACTCTGAGTTCTAAATAATAGAATAATAAACACACTTTGGCATGACAGCGCAAAGAAATTGAGGTTATATTTACAAACCTCCCTTCTGTCTCCAGGGAGTTCTTTGCTTGTGATTTAGTTGGCCCTGCGGTATGCTGACCACCACC